GTTCCCTTAACAATTACACTTCTTCATCATCAGACCCTTAATGACAGCCCCACTCTATTTAGGTGTAAAGTCCTCATCAATACAAATTAATCAAGCCCAAACACAAGGTAGTTAATATAAACCGCTGAGGAGTTCCCTCGACTGTCTGTCGACTCCATCATCAGGTCGACTCCAAACCCATATGAAATTGTAGTGTTTAAAAATCGTAATTGAAAAACATAATAGACGCATTACATAGAATTTTCGAAAGTTCCCCTCGGTTTCCCTAGGATCCCATCATCAGATCCTGACTTCATGGAAATGGGACCATCTCGGGAGTATACCCTTTCAAACAAAACAAGAATTTTCGAAATCGTTTTACAAACGGCGGAGTACTGCGCGAACATAGTACCTCCTCCTTTTTATGAAGTCGGTAAAAACAATAGAAAATAGTCTAATGATTTGCACGACACTAGCTGTCGTGCAAAAACGCGTGAGCGTCTTTCCTCCGCCCCGCGCCGCTGCCGGGGGAATTTTATCAAATGAAATGCACGATAATTCATCGTAAAACGAGTGCGTATAAAAGTACGATTTAGTGCTTTAGAAAATAGCGTTTTTTGAAAAAACCACTGCTTAGATCAATTTGAAATAAATTTTATAGAACTCTCTGGTAATTGTGCTGTGTCGGTACGGTCTACGGTTTGGAGATTTTACACGATTAGTGGTACTTTTTAACACCCAAAGTTGCGTCAAAATTGTCGTGAAAAACAAAACTTTGGTGGCTCATAACTTTTTAATCGTTATTTTTTATTTTTTTTTGTTTCCGTACCGACAAGTGTAATTACTAGATAAAACGTTGTCGTGTTTAATTTTGGAGGTACAAATTCACACTGTGGAGTAATACCGCCCCGAACTTTCTATGGAAAAAATATCGACTAGTGTAACCTTAAGTCCGCCATTCACTGTTCTGTTTTGTGAAGAAGAAATAAATAAATACAATAAAGTAATAAAATAATCAAACTTTTATTAATTGATTTTATGATCAAATTAATTAGGTATAGTATTTTTCTCGCAAATATTTAAGAAATAAGTAGGTACGCTGTTTAACGCTAAAAAAACGTGACGACACAATATCGTACAAAATTCGTTTTTGACAGTTCGAAATAAGTATTGAATTGTACTAGTTAGCAAGTATACCCAATTCTGTGCCTTTAGCCAAACGCCACTTTAGCGCTTGTGTACCGAGAGAATAGAAAACTAAATGTATGGGGATGACATTGAAAAGTGTCAAAATTTACGGCAATCCCATATAATTTAGTTTTCTAGTCTACAAGTAGACAAGCGCTAAATGGCATTTGGCTACAGCTGCTGAAGTGACTAATTATAATGAATTTTTTTAAACGTAACCTAAAGACCATAAGATTGTATTCTGTGTATTACTGTCGCTCAAAGTGTTGTTCCGTGCGAGAAACGAACCCACACATTGCAAAGTAGCCAGTTACCAACCGTGAAGCCGAGCAATGTGGCTGTACTTAAGTTTTTTTCAGAACTAATTATTTACTGACTACCCGACCCAGCAAACTTCATTGCGACGAAAAATTTTTTTCCCGTCCATCCCTGGATTTCAACAAACAATTCAAGACGTAAATTAACCAAATCGGTCCAGCCGTTCTTGAGTTTTAGCGACACTAACGATCGACAATGTATTTCTATTTATATACATAGATAGATACATTATCACAATAATGTCGTGGCTTTGCAGAAAGTGGGCGTACTTGACATACCTAATACGCCTCTGCTGTCTTCCTGGAATGGTTGAAAATAACAGGCGAGATGTTTACCTATAAGTACTGACTTACAGTTGCTTAGGTATTATTATAGTTACAGTGTGACGCAGATACTACGATTTATTATCAAGATGGGTGTGTTCAGACGCTATACATATGTATTAATTATTTAATGTTTAAACAAATACATAAAAAATCATATTAAAATGTAACACCATATTATGGTGTTACATTTTTTATGTTTTAATTGGAACCGCCCATGGACACCCGAAACACTAAGTTACAAGTGCGTTACCGGCCTTTTAGGAATTTGAGGATTGTGGAGGATTTGGGGATTCGGGAGACTAGGGAGGGGGTAATTGGGCCTCCGGTAACCTGACTCACACGACGAAATACAACGCAAGCGTTGTTTCACGTCGGTTTTCTGTGAGGCCGTGGTATCACTCCGGTCGAGCCGGCCCAAGCATGGCTCTCCCACACTTAAGAAACTCTATTAATAATTTAATATCGTCTGATTCATTTCGTTGCGGAATCCAAGACAGTTAATGTCCCTGTGCCGCGCTGGACTTCAGTGTTCCGGTGTTTTCATAGTTGTATAGATCTACTGTAGATCCTGGCTTACAGGAGTTGCAGCGGTTTTGGGAGGCTGTGGCGGGAATGTCTCAAGAAAAAAAATGGTATATAAGTATGCGCAGTTTCACACACACAAACAGACAGAATTAAAAATGAGTATTATGTAAATATTTATCAGTAATTGGGTTTTTGAATGAACCTGAAATTGTATTAGTTCGTAATGGTATTAGTTCCATTATAGACCGTATTGTCGATGCTTAAAGACTACTTTTGTATGAACAAATTTTATGTATTTTTCGTAATCGTGGATTTCGAAGTTAGGTACAATACATTAAATGGGTTTCATAATAATGTGGCTTGGTAAAATCCTACTATTGTCTATCATACTTAAGTATTTTCCTATATCTATTTCGTATTTTAAAAAAATCTTCCTAACAATCATAAAGGCTCTGATTTCTTTTCTAAAATCAACATAATATTGTGGTAATTCTGTCGTAATATAGGGTGCTACTGTTGAGCAATGGACAATGAGCTCCTCTGAACCATGAAAACATTCAAATAATGAAGTCTGGTGAAGGAACGAGGTTCTCAAAGGCATTCTATGACGTTACCCCATAAAATAATAACAAAAGGTGATAGCATATTCTTGCTAATCCATTCCAAGAACAACTGCATTACCGTTACGTCATCACAATATGACATAGATAATATCCGACGTCACAATAATCCAAGGCGTTATAGCCTTGATGCCGTATGATGTCACACCTCTTAGAAACAGTTCTCGCGTGAAACCACGTGCAAAATCTAGTAGCCCATGATTCATCTTCACTAGACATGACGTCACAATCAGTTTTTTTTTTTACAAAAACCACTCTTATGTCATTGACATAAGAACCCGGTCGATGTATGATACTGTTATCAGACACTTGAATGCAGCTGATTGTTTATAGTAAAATAAAGAAATTTTAATAAAACAATGAACAAAAAGTTGCAAAAGAAGTATGCGGGATACTTTCAGTTTGTCAGGTGTGGGGTTCGAACCCACGCTCCCTCTCGGGAACCAGAGCTTAAATCTGGCGCCTTAGACCACTCGGCCAACCTGACGTGATGAAACGGCTCAAATTATGGATCAATATCTACAAATATTGGCAAAGTGCCGACATTTCTGAGAAAAATATTGATTTAGTTTTAATTATCATAAATTCAAAACATTATTACAAAGTGAATAAACAGTTACGTGATGCTGTTGGAATAAATAATAAAAAACAACACATGAGTTATTATTGCTATAAATATCGAAATAGACTTTTCAAAATAGTTTTTATAACGTTATCAATTTTAAATTATCTACAAACGCGATAATGAAACAATATAAATGTAAGTTTTGAGTTCTTTCCTTAGGCGCCATCTACCTTGAAGTTCAATAACTAGTAAGCCAACTGAACATTGATAGTTTGAGAAGTCGTTCCGAGATGGCGCTGTACACAAATAATGCGGAAACATTTTGCTGTCAATTTCTATATTTCATTATTTATATATCTCGATTTTTTAAATTAAACAATGTATTACTGTGTATGTCTTTATGTATTTTTGTTTCTATTTACTAGCCTCTTAATGCCATTGATTAAGAATGTCACGGTTTATTAAGCCAGCTGGAGATAACTGGCCCAGTCCAACGTTTATCAGTTCACACAGTTGATCTGACTGGGCCAATGCCATTTGAGGTTACGCTCATAATTACATTACTCACGTTAGTAGATAATATCTACTTACACAAAAGACTAAATTGACACAGGAAACTCATAGTCTGTCTGTCCGTGTTTCCGTTTTTTTGTCCGCAAACGAACGTTTGAATGATTGTTTAAGCTTTGTTCGAGGTAACTAATGTTTGTTGCAACAGATAAAGCTCTGAATACTATGTAGACTGTGCCTTTTTTCTGTGGATAGGTTTTTTATAACAAAAATAGTAGTTTTAGAGTAGTTAAGAAGTGAGGGGAAGTTTTACCTACATTTTAATATTATTGATAGTACCTAGATTTATAAATGTACCTACAAGGTAGGTAAATTGTATTGTAAAAGCGCTTGTTGACAATAGAACTTCATAGCGAATTCTTAAATTTTACCATAAAGTAGTATTTTCAACTGGCTAAAATAATAAAAGGAAGTGGTTCTTTATTTGTTATTTTGTTTGAAAGATTAATATGGTTTAGGAGTAGCATATGTTTAGGACTAGGGACATTTCGTCGTCGTCGAAGAACAGAGCCTTTGGAGTAGATATATTCTGTAGTAACAATTATGTTCCGGGTTCGATTCCCGGGTCGGGCAAAGTATTACTAGGCTTTTACGAAAAATCTCTGTAGTAGCACGGAGTCTGGAATTGTGCCCGGTATATGGCAATAGGCTCACCCCCTTTTACGTGGGACTCATAACATAAATAGTGAAAAGTGGGTGTTACGTTGTACAAAGGCATTAAGTGCTGTAATGTACACCTCTGCCTACTCCTTCGGGGATAAAAGGCGTGATGTTATGTTATGTTATGTTAAAAAATATGTTTGGGTAAACGTAGTGCTGGGTACTGTCGGATTTGACCAGATGGGTGGTTATCTGATGATGGTGATGATACACGGTAAAATTTTTAAAAGGAGAATAAAACTAGCCAAACAAAATAATACTGCATGTAATCACAGGTACATCATAACTGTCGCTCCTACAACCAGAGCTAGCGCACTCTTGCGGACGTAGGCAGAGTTACACTCGTTGTCGAAGCACTGACAGACTGTTTCGAGATGGTCTTCATTGTCAGCCTTGTAGCAGTCGCGGTGATGACGCACCCAGCCACAGCTACGGGTCACTCGGACCTCCGGCTCATAACCCTTATGGAGAACTGAAAATGAAAGGAAACATGCATTATTAAGCTGAATACTAACTATCATGGGACTTCTAAGGGATTATTAGGTACAGGAACAGTGACTGTTTTTATGGAATAGGGTATCTAATAAGGATATATATTTCTTAACTCTTTGAGTACCGTCATTATAGACACAATTAAAGAACAATAGGTTGCGGTCACCGGTGTCCTCGCGGTGTTTGACAGTTTAATTATTAGCGATCGATGCCACCTATATGAACACCAGAGGTATGCTCTTATAGCTGAATAGTTCCCTTAACTTTTGGGGAAAGTCTTGAATTTATCTGAAGATTTTACTACTTCAAAAGTTCCCGATTCCGTTTTCAAATTAGACCTCAGTGCAATTTTATCGCAGTCCTAAAGCGGGACTTCAATTAATGTAATTAAAATTAAAATGCTCGTATGTGGCCCTCCAGTAAGTATTTAATTGCACATAAAGTGAATAATGTTTATTGTATTGGACAATAATTACCATCCTATATTGGAAGCTAATCGTCACGGTTTGCTAAATAAATGTGTGGGTGGTGAAACACCTATATGTGTCCACTTCCTTTTTTGTGTGGGATAAAATAAGTGATATGGTACTGGTACCGTCTATACCATAGGGTACTCAGGGTCCGTGACCAGGAGTGATTCTCAGGGGGCCTTGAAGGACCGGACACACACCCGATCCACGTTGCGCGGCATCTGGTTGCCGCGTACCGTGTAGCGGGATCGAATCCCGCATGGAGAAAATCTTAGAGTGTTTCAGGTCTGGGTTTCACGTGAAATGTGACTTGTAAATGTATGCTTGTAAACGCACCCACGATACATACAGGAGAAAATCCTAGTGTGGAGCAACATTAAAAAAAGGAAACATTCCAAAAGAGACCCGAATTATTGTGTGCCCAACCCCAGTATAGTTTAAGTGGGCCCTGAATTCGGGTTCAATGAAATAAATCTCAAGGAAAAAGACCAGTTTTGTAGATAATTGCCCGATCTGTTATGACTTTTCACAGTTTGATTATATTGCTATTCAGTCTAATCACATTAAGATGAACCCAATCCACATATACAAAGTTATATAGTAAACTTACTGGTCTGAATAATTTTCCTGCAGAAGAACTCATTATTGGCGGAGTAGATGCCACGACCACACTCTGCGATGGGGAGGAAGTTGTTGATAGTCTCCTTGTCGTAGATGGTAGGGTCCAGGCACATGGAGTTGTTCATACTGTTGCACTCGAAACAACGAATTGACACCGCTGTAGAAAGAAAAAAATACGAGAAACAATGAGTAGATTTAGGAACAATGATGCTATTGATGTGCTTATGAATTTATAATCACTAAAATCTTTTATAAGAAATGTCTTATTACGACTTTGGGTTTGTTTCCATTTTATTGAGGTTAATTCTAAGTTAATTCTAAGAGACTGATGATGGAGTTACTAGACCTGAAGTGAAACAATATTATGACTTATAAAATGAAGTATTACTTTGTAGACTAGTATAATAGTAGTAGTAGTAATAAATGTAATGTGGAATTATTAAAAACAAACATAAATTACAAATAAATAATATCAATCCTAATAATTAAAACCACCAATAAATAAAATAATGAAATGAACGTACCGTATTTGAAAAAGAGCGCGAATATCGCGCAAAATTTTAGAAACTTTTTCAACATATTTATTTTTTTAAATTAACTAAATCGATTGATACGTTTCTATATGTATGGCGAGTTAGATACCGGACAGTCGACCACAAACTGTTTACATTTACTTGCGATTCTCGTATAAAATTGCGACGCGGTCTTATTCCGTGTTATCGGAAGCCAATTGACGCCACGGTCAACTTTTATTTGCCTACATGATAGGATGCACAGCTGCTTTGGATTCTCCAATTTGTATACCTAAGACAAATAGATTTTATATACCTAACTTACATTGCATTACCAGTTATCACCGTCTTCACAAGTCTTGATTCCTTTAAACTTTTACTCCCCTGTTAAGATTAAGGCATACCTTCGGATGTAGAGGAAACCCGTTCTCCAGTAGTGGGCTGTTAAGAGCTTTTGATTATGATGACGCAGGTTACAGAAAGACAGTTTCATTTTATGAGTATACTTATATTAGTTAATTTGATTTCTCTATGACTGTTGATGAAGTGAAAGAGGTATGTAAGAATCATAGCAATTGGCGTTGCATAGCGTCTGCCTGGTCCATGGGAGACAGGTGTGACGCTATGCATGTATGATTTCTTTATAATTTAATATTATTATACAATATCGTAAACATCTGGAGGTGAAATAGTGACGATAACCTCTGGTTTAACAAGGATTTATATCATTTATGTAAGAAGTATTATTGAAACTTATTTATAAACATTTTGTAATCCCGAGTGTAACACTATATTTGTAATACTTATAAATAAAACTTTATATTGCAGTACTGATCCTAATCTTTTTAAAAATACATATTTTTTTCTTTAAACATTTTATTTACCAGACATAAGAAGTTATAGAGTAGAAATCCAATCGTCCCATAAAGAAAAGAAAATCTAATTTCAAACGTTCCCCCGCCACGTTCTAAACGCGACAAGAAGAGTGGCAACGGCTGCAAAAGCTGTCACTTTGACGTGTTCGAGGGTTGTTGCCGCATTGCAGAGGTCCCCGAAGCACTGACAGACTGTCTCCAAGTGGTCCATGTTGTCAGCTTTGTAGCATTCCCTCTTGCTCCTCACCCAGCCACAACCACGAGTTATCCGGACTTCTGGCGTCTGATCTGGATGTAAGACTGGAAGACAAACAAAATATGACAAACGTACAATAACATCAGAAGGTTAATAAAATTACTGCCTTATCTGTGGCTACTAACGCGATTGAAGAGCAAGAGATGTTGGGTTTGATTTCTAGGAAGCTAGGTTGGGAACTAAAGTGGCAATGGGCAGGCCACGTCGCTCGAAGGACTAACGGCAGATGGGCCAGGAAAGTCCTTGACTGGAGACCACGGACCGGAAGACGAAGCGTGGGCAGGCCTCCCGCAAGGTGGACCGACGACATCGCCAGAGTTGCGGGGAGCCAGTGGATGCAGGTGGCGAGTTGTTGTTCGACGTGGAGGACTAAGAGGGAGGTCTTTGTCCGGCAGTAGACGTCTTCCGGCTGTTGAGGATAGGTTGGGAAATCCAATATGTCGTTTTCTTAATACCTAATGGCACGAAATTAGATCTGTTTCTAAAATATTAGAATTGTTTCATCAAAAACCATTGCTATCAGAATAAGGACGTCTACACGCACTGATAATCACGCAGTTTGTTAATCATCACATCTCTATGGTCATCTACAGTATTGTATAGCGACATGTCACCGGTCTGAAACTAGTATATTGTTGTCTCTGAGGACCTATAATGATAGGTACGCGGCACTGCATGTATCTAGTTTGCATTTCCGTTTGCAATTGTTATTAAATACATGCCTACTTGTTTACATAGATTTTATAGATAAATACTGTTGCAAAGATGGTGGTTATTTTTTTCTGTAGTAATATGATATATATTATGTCGTACTGTTTTATGACTATATGCTCACCACTAGTCACCACTTTACTATATGGGACTCAAAACATAAATAATTTCTCAATTTGATGCCATTAAACTTAACTAAATTTGTCGAATATTAGTATTTAGAAAACTTGAAGTTACCGCCATCTGTATTTGACAACCAGCAACAATTTTGAAAGACTCTTAATTTTTTTTTTTTCATAAAATAAACAGTACTTACTTGTCTGTGTAATCTTTCTGCAGAAGAATTCCCTTTTGTCTATGGTATTGGAGAGAGATTCTCTGCAGTCGACGATAGGTATGATAGCGTGCATTTTTGGAACATGCATCTCTAAACACGCCGAGTTATTTTTACTGTTGCAGTCGAAGCATTTAATTGCTTCACCTGGAAGCATGAAAATTAAGTTATGTAGGTACGTCCAAACTATGTTATAATGAGGTCATTATTTAATAGAAAATGTATATAATAGATTTTTTTTCCAACGAAGACAAAAAAATTCTGGTATGTAGGTAAAAGAAGTTTAATAAAACTCGCAATGTTTTAAAAGATACTTACATGTTGTAGAAAATAACAAAGGCAGCAAAATGCTTAATAAAATATTGCTAATATGTGCAAACGACATGTTCTTCAAATTATTATGCTAAGCGCCTAACAAAATACTGCGAGCAACAAGTTTTGTAATACAACTTTATATAAACTTATTGATCAGGCGTCTTTAGTTTAATATTTATCGTTCACTGTGTACTATAGAAATATTACTAAAGGCGAATTAAATTATAAAAAAGAAAATATTTTTTTTATTAAATTCGTTCTACGTCTTCAAAGATTGTTCACAAACTGTGCTCTCGTTCGTTTTACTTGAGTTTATAAGTCGGCCAACGATTTAGTGTAGTTGGCACACAAAGGACACCAACTGGATAGGTTTGGTTCTAATCCCCGCCGTAGAAAGGTGCCCAGGGTTGGAAGGAAACATCAATAAAGCAGAATAAAGCTAACTGTTAGTTCTGGTGGTAAATTCTTGAATAAACTGATTATGAACGGACTATTCTCCCGTTATTCATCTTATTCTGTATTGGTCCGTTTTTCGTGGACTTGTAGCTTTGAACAGGAATAATATGTACAGAGAAGTATGGTTTTCTTTATAGCTAATATCATGAACTTTTGTCTATCATTAAGCATCGAGTGCCTTCCGTTAAGCCCCAATATTATACTGTATAACTTATACAATAGACCGAAGGTATAAGAGAAATATCCTATTAAAAGTCAATAGCCTAGTAGCGTCAGCAGATGTGCCTTTATTTGACCGTTTACCGAATTTGAAAGAAAGAAAGAAAAATGATTTATTCGGTACAACACCAGGCAAAAAAACAATATAATAATATAATGCCAAAAAAAAATAGGATGAAATAAAAAAAGGACAAAATAATATAAGTTCAATATACCAACAATAATAGTTATGTGCCCGACAGCTGCACCAATATTTTTTGTAACATAAATTGGAGAAGAATCACATATTATGTTAGTACATCTATGCACACTTCTGACTTCTGAATCTTTTGAAAAACGAGCATAATAATATTACGAATAGAATAGCAGCACTTACAAACGTCTCAGGAATATAAAAGGAAATACCAACTCATGTTACTCTAAAAGATGAGTAAGTCCGCGTGTAGGCACATGTAGGCGGCAACAGGGATTACAGGGAACATTGAGAATTGAATAAAAACCTACATTTGTTTGTTTGTCAAGACAAAAGGATTAACTAAGGGTCATTTACCTTTTACACGTCACTACAATGTGGATATAAATATTTGTTGGTAGTTTGTGGTAGACTTATTTGCAGACCTTCGGGGTTTCTGTCTGGTCCTCATCGTGATTAGTCATGTTTGTCCAACAACACGGAATTTTCATGTAGTTATTTGCAAAGTATGTGTCGGCCGCGGTACCTATACGACTTGGTATTAGACTGCAAGATCTTTAATATAAACATAACATCACGCCTTTTATCCCCGAAGTGATAGGCAGAGATGCACATTACGCTACTGTACAATGTAACACTCACTTTTCACTATTTATGTTATGAGTCTCCGTGCTACTACTGAGATTTTTTTTTAAAACCCAGTAACACTTTGCCCGACCCGGGAATCGAACCCGAGACCCCTTGTTGCCCGGCTGTCACGACCACTCGGCCAACGAGGCAGTCATATGTATTTTGTTTTAAACATTTTATTTCTTTGTGTTACCAAGACAGAATCATTTTACTTCGGGACGAAAACGAAATAGATTCCACGGTGTATTATAAACTACGGTTGCATGTCACCCTGTGCAGTATGTGAGGATGCAGGCGATTGCATCTCAATAGCCCGCATCCTCGGCCGTTGGACTCAATAGGAGTAACTATCTTAGATAGGTGTCGACGGAAATACCAACTCCAATTAGCAAGGGAATGGTTTACACACATAATAATAGAGTGTAACGTTGCTTTTACTTTTAATGCGTAGGACGATTTGTTATTAGGTAGGTACTGTATGTATATTTCGCCAGCACGCAGCAAGTACCTACACGACAGTTAGAATAGAAATTACCCTACTACCTACCCTACTTGAAATTAGTCGATGTCTTAAATTGACAATCACCTCAGACCATTGATCCTGCGTCTGATCAGTCTTCGATCACTCTGCGTTTATTTTATGAAGCATTTTTGCTGTCAATATGTCATATATATTTGTTTATTTGTCAGTACTTGTCAGTATGTCAGACTTATGCAGACGCTGGTATTTCCATAGAGCGGCTGGTCGTTCAGGAGAAAGTAGAGGGAACCAGATCACGAGGCAGATCACCTATGCGCTGGACTGATCAAGTCAAATTGGCAACAGGAAACCCAGTGTCAGACTGCGCAAGAAAATCCAAGAGGGAGAGATGGCGGGAGATCGTGAGGAAAGCTGTATCGACCTTCAACACAAATACCGCCGCCTCAATGTGACCACGACCAGAGAAGATGTCATACACCTATGATCTTATAAGTGGACTGATCTGATTGCAAGAATGACCTTTGTCAAGCCATATTCCAGTCACACTCACCCACGTGACCCATAATCCATACAGACTTACAAAACAAAAGCAATAATGAAAAGCAAACTACAGCAGTTTGACAGTTGGTCTGATATATAGACACCAACACCAGCAAGTCAACCTACCCCAATATGTAACTTTAACTCTATTGTTTGGTAATAAAGTCTATAATCGATTGAAGACCTTTGATTTACCTATGTACTAGTTATGCCCTGTGCAAACTCTACGTAAACTAGAAATAGAACTTAGCATATTGCAGTAAATAGGTGTAGGTAATATACATACTTCATGAATGTTCCATATTCCGGTATGTAAGTCCATTTCCTTGATTTTATTACCTGAAATGTTGGCACTGAGTATATTTATTTGGGTATTTTAATACCATACACAGTTAAATATAAAGATTAGTGTGGTACTTCATTAACATAGCTGGGTAATAAATTAAATCATAACTCATATGCATATACATCCCCACCATAGAGATGGTTGGCAGGCCACAACTGTGCGCTTCTAACGTATACTAATTAAAGTATCAGATGCAATATTTTAAAGCAAATTAGGTAAGTTTTACAATACTCAAAAATATTGATAAAGACAACGTCACAAAGTTTATTTTCCTACTAACTGAGCCCGCGACCTCTTCCGCGTGGAATAGTGATTCACAACAGCTCCTTCCCCTTAGTTGATAACAAAATAATATATAGCCTATATGTTGATCCGACCTGTTATTAATATTCATGCAAAATTTGAAGTAAATCAGTTTTTTTTAGTTCATCCCAGACATACATACAGACAAGCAGACAAAAATTCAAAGAACCATATTTTTAGATTCGGTACCGACTGTAGATCACGCCCAAAGCATTTTTTAAAAAATAATCGATGTACAGTTTTCACTTTCCTACAATTTTATTATATGTATATATAATAAAATAAGTGTGGGAGAGCCATGCTTCGGCACGAATGGGCCGGCTCGACCGGAGTGATACCACGGTCTCACAGAAAACCGACGTGAAGCAACGCTTGCGTTGTGTTTCAAAATGTGTGAGTGAGGTTACCGGAGGCCCAATTACCCTCCCCTTCCCTAATCTCCCCAATCCCTGAATCCCCAACGATCCTCAAACTTCTATTCCCCAAATGGCCGGTAACGCACTTGTAACGCCTCTAGTGTTCCAGGTGTCCATGGGCGACGCCGATTGCTTTCCATCACGGTGATCAGTCAGCTTGTTTACCGGCTTATGCCATAAAAAAATATGTACCTATTGATGTATGCGTTTTCACGTTTCTATAGTTACGTTACACAACCCATAAAACAAGGGGTAACTAAGAACAGAAAACACGTGTTTTTTTACCCAGACTTTCGATCTAAGCCGGTACCAACCAGTGTCGGTTACCGGTAACCAGTAACTAAGGTCGATGGCTGTTCTTGAAACTGACATGATCGGTGTTCTTTGGTTTACATAACTCCTGTTACGTCACTCCGACTGGAAGAATATTTATAGATTTATTACGATTTATTCGCCTTACTAGTTCATGGTAAATTGGTATGTTTATAGTAAGCTAATATTAATCGGTGTAGTATTTGTATGCTTGTGGTTTTTTGGTAATATAACGTTTGCAGTATCTCTGATATTCTGTATTATTATGCCTGCTTACCTAACAGTAAATATCACCGGCAATAATAACAATTGATCAATGAGACTAACTTAACTTTCCTGTATAATATAGCATGACATCACGCCTTTTAATTCTCGGAAAAATAGTCAGGGAGGCTCTTATACATTGTACTTTCCAACAGCCGTGTAGGGTAGTTTCCTAATTGTTTTAATGTCCCTCTGGTAGATTTTATTAAAACATTGTACACGTTTATTTTCATTTCTTTCAAAGTAGAAATATCAACTCCTTAACTTAAATGTTAACTTAACTCACGGACTGATTAGATTTTTAATTTTCATTCCCTGTCAACTACCCAATTATGTAATAGCGTGCGAGCTTGTTCTCATACGTTCGGTCTGCTAATGCTAATAGATTTTTATTATCTGCCCAACTGCTATTCGAGTCCATGTAATCTATATAATGAAGGAGAAGAAATATTATTAGAAGACTTTTTATATATGATGGGCTGACGTTTGACTACCATCTCGCCTGGTGGTAAGCGATGATGCGGTCTACGATGGAGCACGTCGTTCCATAAGCAACTTATTCACTCAGGTTAATACCCTTCAGGAAATACAGACTCTGGAAATGAATTCCACTCCTTAGGAGTATGCACAGGGACGCTTAATTGTTAGAATACTAATTTTAAACAAAATTATTTCTTTGTATTGTATAATCTAATTAATTTTTCCAAAGATGGCGGCAGATTCCATTCCACTCAACTATCATTGGAAGAGGTGTGTCTGTACATAATAGTGAAGGAATGAAGGAAACACATTGCGTGTTACATTGTACACGAAACACCAGTAACGAGTTGTTGCGGATATGAAATAATGCCTGACTATTGTCTAGTTGAGGATCTTATCTACCATCGTACCCGACTTGTCCATTACTCAGTTCAAAATAGTTTAGATAAGAAGATTTGTTATTTGTTTCTCTAAGTCCTTTTGCTGAATTGATTGTTTTTATGGGACAAGCCGATATACATATATGAGCAGACAAATTACCTAATGGTAACCAATCGGCGTCGCCCAACACTTTTTTAAAAAGAGTAACGAATGGAGTTTCTTACACGTTCTTCTCCATTCGAATCTACATTTTGGAATGAGCACCTAGCTTCACCTAGCTTCACTGACGGACTGATTGACAGTATATAATATTTATTTTGTTTTTGTTGACGTTTCAAAAGTACCAAATTATGGTTTAATTGAAATAAATGCTTTGACTTTGACTTTGACTTTGCCCATGGACACCTTAAATATCACAGGCGTTATAAGTGCCTTACCGGCCTTCTGGGGATTCAGGGATTTGGGAGATTAGGGGAAGGGGGAGGAATAATTGCGCCTCCGGTAACCTTACTCACACGACGAAACATAACACAAGCGTTGCTTCACGTCGGTTTTTAAGAGGCCGTGATGTCGCTCCAGTTGAGTCGTTCCATTCATGCCGAAGCATGGGTCTCCCACACTGTTTACATATTCATACTGTAGTATTTCCCTGCCATCTGCCATTTCAAGACGTTAAACAGGATCTATCTTTTACTAGACTATGACGCTTGAGCAAAATGTCAAGATATTCAATTAACAAAATTCTCTGTAGTAACATGGTATCTAGAATTAGTATTTAAAAGTAAACAGCGGGCAACTACATGGCCCTTATGACAGTGAAGAATCGATCTTCATCATAATAGACACATCACGTTCACAGCTGAATGACTTCCAGGTCACCCAGTTTTAGTAGCAACATCCATGCATTATAAATCTATATAATTATATAAAAGTCGTGTTAGTTACACTATTTATAACTCAAGAAGGCCTCAATCGATTTAGATGAAAATTGGCAGGGAGGTAGCTTAGAACCAGGAGACGGACATAGGATACTTTTTATACAATACTTTTTTTTTACTTTTTACCGAAAATCACGAACGGAAACGGGGGAGAAATGGGATTGCGCGTACGAAGTCGCGGGCAGAAGCTAGTTTGTTATGTAAGTTGAATCAGCGTTACATTTGTAATACAGCTCAATCTTTTATTGGTAGCAGTGGTGAGTCTCCCAGGTGGCGAGGTGTTGTGTAACGAAGGTACATGCGAGGTGAGGGGACCGCCGGATGCTGCGCGTCCGTGCAATTGTGTGTCTCCCGCGCTGAGGTAACTACGTGATACTTGTACACACACTGGACAAACTCGACTATGATAGATACCAACGATACTGTGAGAATATTCATCTATACATCTATCTATATATCTATTCTATACGTATAATAAAATCGTAGGAAAGTGAAAACTGTACATTGAATATTTTTTTAAAAGAATGCTTGAGGCGTGATCTACAAGCAATACCGAAGATAAAAATATGTTTTTTTAGAATTTTTGTTTGTTTGTCTGTATGTATGTCCGGGCTAAACTCAAAAACTGCTACATGGATTTACTTCAAATTTTGCATGAATATTACTAACAGGTCGGGTCAACATATGGGCTACATATTATAATGCTATCTCCTACGGGGGAGGAACTGCGAATCACTACTCCACGCGGACGAAATCGTGGGCATAGCTAGTGTTAAATCAGCTCATAACCAAACAAATAGAAAAAGTACAGAGTACAGGCGAAATCAGTCATGTAAATTTAAGACTAAGTTTTTTTAGACCACAAGGATAATAAACTCCAGTGTCGCCATCTACACACGAAACTTTCATTCATAAAAGTTGTCCCTCACTAGGATTATCTCTTATGACGTAGGTTCATTTACAAAATACAACTACTTGTGGACCACACATAGTTTATTTAGACATCGAACTCACACTACATAGCGCACTAGTCAACGATCGCGTCAACGGATCATAGAAGAGCCTAGCCAGTTCAATTTTACGACTGTATTTCTGATAATCACGAATGGTTGCCGCGAATGATTGGCACTTCATGTGCCAATCACGATTGCTCCGCTAAAACTATTTGATTCGGGTGCTTGCGTCTTGTATGACGTACAAATATTTACTGAATCCAGTGTTTAATTGCGTTGTACGCGTAACTTCCGCACTTGACTAATTTTGGTTTTATGGAATAAGCCGGTAAATGAGCAGACGGATCACCTGATGGTAAGCAATCGGCGTCGCCCATGGACACTTGGAACACTAGAGACGTTACAAGTGCATTACTGGCCTTTTGGGATTAGGAATTTGAGGATTGTTGGGGACTCAGGGATCGGGAAAGGGGGGAGGGGTAATTGGTAATTGGCATTGCTGCATGTATTATGGGAAAATGGAAGTTTTTGTTCAGTTTACTAGGTTGTTGAATACATTAACTTCTCACAACAGTCCAGAGCTGGACCATGGTCGCCTGCTATTTTTCAGTATCAAATCGTCCTTCCATAATTTTCACGAACGGCAGAAAGGTTAGAGATCGGTTCTAAATAGGATTTTTAACAGACTAACTTCAAAAAAAGGACTTCTGTTTTACCTGTATGTAATGAATGTATGTAGGTATGTTTTTTACCGATTTTGATGCGGTTTTCAAAAAGTGTTTACTACACTTAGAAGGTTTTAGTATATTCATTAACCGACTTCAAAAAAGAAGGGCTTAAAGTCGTTTTTTTTAACGTGGTTTTTATAAGAATGATTAAATGAAAGGATCTGTTCTACGAAACCGTAAGCGCGGGCCTGCGGACGGCGAGCATGGGTGGCTCCCCGTCCGACCAGAAACAGACCCGAGCGTACGGCGCCGAGCGTTCCGCGCGCGCCTCAAAGAACCATCAGACCACCACAGATGGAGCCCAACAGGGCCAATGCCGATTCGGAGTCGCGGAGAACCTAACGGGTTACCGATATGCAGGAGAAGGAACGGGGTGGTTTTTAGTCAGTAAGAGTCTGACACTCCCTCCCGCCTCACCCAGGCGGGAGCAGTCCTACGATGAATTTTCCCCCTTAAAAAAATTATCTTATTTAAAATCCTTCTAGGCTACACTACTATCAATCTAAACAAATTAATGATTTTGTGAAAAAAGCTTACTCTAATACACTTTCAAAAGCTTTTTTGCAAATATCAGATTACAACTTTAATTAATTACTTTAGGAAAAAGCAAACAAGACTGAAAGTAAAGCAATAACAGTATATTCGTTTAGAATTAGCCTGAAAGCCATTGTTACGTTTCTAGGCAAATTAATTAGCGACCATCTATTTTTGTTCGCTCCGTACTTCCATCAGTTACGCGTTGTCATGTAGCAACAAGTTTCATAGCTATGCCGGAATACTGAAACTTTACTAAATTTTAAGTCGTGCTTAAATATCGTGCCATCTCTGTCATTTTACAAAGAATTTGTAGAGATAGAACTATACTTAAGCACGACTTAAAATTAAGTAGCGTTTCAGTATTCCGACAGGAGATTACTATACTGAAAACTGGGTTTGATTTTTCACGTTCCGAATTTAGTCTGATTTAAAATATTATTTTAAATTCTATTTTATCGGACTCCTTTACATACTTCTGTATATTCGGTATGAAATATGTATAGTTGTTGTAAAAAACTAGTTGTGCCCGTGGCATACTTTTATTAAAGTTAACTTTCACTTCTAAATTTTTATTGTTGACGTTCAAAAGTGCCTTCCTGGTCTAATTGAAATAAATGATTTTGACTTTGAAGTATTTTCTGACGTTAGTCACATTAAGAAGCTTTCACATCAATTTGTTGTTCTTAAATAGTTGAGACATCAAACCAATTAGTGAAATATATTAAATAAGTACTTTGATTAAATTAAACTTAGTCCACCACGGATGGGGCCCAATAGGGCTAATGCCGATACGGAGCTGCGGAGAACTTAATGGGCTACAGGGGCTCCGGCTCGAAGTGCAGGAGTAGGAACGGGGTGGTTTTTAGTCATTAAGAGTCTGATACTCCCTCCAGCCTCACCTAGGCGGGAGAAGTCCTACGATGATTGTCCCCCCTTAAAAAAAAACTGAACCCGCTACGAACCGTCGTAGTCCTTTGTACTACGCCGTAGCTACAGGTCTGTACTGAAATAAATTAAAAACAATATTTTATGAAATGACAACATAGTACTCTACTCAATATATCACGTGGTTTCACGAATACATGTTTCGGTAAGAATGAGCTGGCTCAACCAGAGTGACATCACGGTGCGGACGTCATAGAAAAACAGCGTCTAAAGGTGGACAATTCGCAATTATAACTCAATAATTCTGGCGTCTTTGGGCGGCGCCGCTTGCTTACCATCAGGAGTCGCATAAAAAATACAACAACAAAAAAAAGTCAAATATTCAAGAGTGAGTTTGTCATGTGCGTATACGCAGGATACGATCATCGTCAAGTGAGGTTGGCGGGCGGCGCGGAGGAGGACCATAATGGACCGGCACGTATCTGTCTCACAATCTCGGTTTGTTACACCTTGCTCTCACTGGGTTGGGAAAAGAAATATTTCGATGAAATGTAAGAATAGAAGATTAAGATATTGAGAATTTTTAAGGTGATGCCACTTAAAAAAGATATTCAGTACAGAACAAATGTATTATTTAATTAATTTGGTATGAGCAGGCTGGATGCGGGTCGCTTCAAACCAGCCTATCTAGAAGTCATTGGGGGAGGCCTAAGTTCAGCAGTGTACTCAATGGGTCCTTCCTAAGCCAATACTTCTCCAATTTTCTGTATTCATTTAATCATACAAAAAATAATTGTTTTTTTTTTGCAAATAGGCTAATGCAGATACAAAGTAGCTCTCTATAGATATGTCAAACTATCGTTATAATAATCCATTCCCTTTAAAAAGAGATTGTCTCTAATTAAATCAATGAGTAAATGAGTGTGCTCTGGAATTAGAGCATGCGTCATTCTAATTAAGGAAAGTATAGTACGTCATCAAAATAAGCGACGCGACAGCAACGTCTTAAAATCTTGAGTTGTACAGTTATCTTGCTACCTATCCTATTATATGTATAGTCGCGGAGAACCTAACAGGTTACCGGGGCTCTGGCTCGAAGTGCAGGAGTAGGAATGGAGTGGTTTTAGTCAGTAAGAACCTGACACTCCCTCCCGCCTCTCCAGGCGAGAGCAGTCATTCGATGATTTTCCCCCCTTAAAAAAATCCTATCATATAATATTATGAGAATACATCGTCTATGACCCTTTTCACTCCTAAAATGTCACTTAACTAAAAGTCACTTAACCTGTCGTAGCACCTAAACTAGACCCTAAATCACTTACAGGTTGATAAAAACCAAAACAACGGTAAATGTCACCTATATTAGCTTAAGCGTACCTTAATACTTGGGAGAGGTTCGTTAAGACGTTCATTAATGTCTTAAAAGGCATAAAGTTGCAATACCGTATGCATGCTATCCTATCTAGACTAGATATTGCTTTGAAAAATTATCCCTAAAGGCCATCCTTCAACTCAACTTTAGCTCCAACGGCGTCATCTTAAACATTTATCTCTATAGTCCTAAATATATCACAGTCCTTTAGCTGGTATTACGACAGTCCTATTTGACCACTTGTCCCTATGATCGGCATCATCATTCATCCTATATAACGCCATTGTGAACACAATGTACGAGGTCGACGGTATCAATGGATGGAATGCAGATAAGGCCTTTATATTTCATTTTAAATCTAACAAACTACGTTTGTAGTTGTAGCTTACATTAAATAAGAGAATTATTTATTTCAGCTCCTATATAATAAGACAAGCTCACACCTTTTTTTTATGGCATATGCCGTAAACGAGCAGACGGATCACCTGATGGTAAGCAATCGGCGTCGCGCATGGACACCTGGAACACCAGTAGCGTTACAAGTGCGTTACCGGCCTTTTGGGAATTAGGAGTTTGAAGATTGTTGGGGATTCGGGGATTGGGCAAAGAGCTGGGCCTCCGGGTCACTCACACGACGAAACACAACGCAAGCGTTACTTCACGACGGTTTCCTGTGATATAATAAGACAAACTCACCTCTACGAAAGTATTATAATATCCAAAAACAGAAGTATTCAATATAGTAACTGATGTAGTAACAAAATCTAAATTGGTCTCGAATTCTAGTTGTATAAAACATTATAATTATAAAGAAAAGCTCAACTTAAAACTTTGCAATACTGCGGCTCAAAAGACCTAGATACAAGCGATCGAATTCCTTACATAAGCCCCATACATATGTCTTGGGTAATAAAACTCTATAAACAACAAAGTACGGGAAAACACGCGATGTAGCAACCGTACATACAAAACCAACACAGTGCAAATATAGAAAAAAAAAATCAAAAAACTCGTTGTTGGGATTTGAAAATTCTGAACAGTAATCTGTTGTTAACGAGGAGTTGCCGATACTCAACAATATGGTAGCAGTCAATTTGTTAAGGTATTAGACCAATTGAATAAGCGGTGCACATTCATAGTAGATATAGCATCTAGCGTAGTGTGGATATTCAGTGGGCCGCCGGTCGCAAACGTGTGCGGTACGCAGTGACCCGAACCGGCGAACACCTGTTCCAACTTAACAAAATGGCGTTGTATCTAATTTGCTTTTTGGCGGTAATATGCAGTTTGCTACAACAAGGTTTGTACTTTATTATTGAATTAAGAGCTCTTATTCGTGTTTCCCGTTTCGTGATAATTTTATTCGCTCCAATTTTCTTGGTCCTTTTAAACTTTTCTTAGCAATTTGATAACAGACTATTTGCTTTGCATGACTTCAGTTGTTTGATAAAATTATTTTCCTTTAAATATTTCTGTAAATATTAATCTTTTTTTTATATTCTTAAATGTTAATAAATATATTCATCGGTCAGAAGTTTTAGAAGTAACATTTTGATGTTTTTTGCACTAAATATTGAAACGTGGTCCTTCCGTCCGAAGAAGATGTAGATACGTACAAAATGAATAATGTGACTTTTTTTGTGTCCCTATGTCATACATTCTATCCTGAATGTTTATAATGTATAAACTGTTATTTTTAATAAATAAATATAAAATATCACTGGTGGTATATATCAAAATATTTTACAACATTATGACAAGTATTTCAATATCTTAGTACTTTAATAGATAATGTAAGTTAAAGTTTAATTTTTTTTTTTGCCAATTTCCGTAACAGATATACTTTGTGTTGTATTACGATTATACTACTAATATCGTACATGCAATTCAGCAAAATATACAACATCAATAATCTGAAAAAAAAATCAGTCATCTTCAAAAAATTGCTTCGAAAAATTTCATATCTAGAGGAGATTTTCTTCTTTATAAAATTTCATAGAAAGAGAAGTTCTGAGAAATTGGTGTTTCATGAATGATTTTACGTAGCACTTACGTTCTTATTACAAGCCCACATTATGTATGACGGTAGAAGCTATCTTAAATTTTATTAATATACATTCATAAAAAAAAATTTGTTTATAGTATACGTTCCGGTAAAACACATAATTTGTAACCGTCTTCAATAAAGTACATTCTCAGTTTTAACTATATGTAGGTATGTTTGTGCAAATTATCTCGGGATTGGCTGAGCCGATTTCAATGCGGTCTTCAGAAAAGTGTTTATTACACTTAGGAGAAGGTTTTAGTATATTAATTAACTGACTTCAAAAAAAGAGTGGATTGAAGTTGGTTTTTAAACGTAGTTTATAAAAATATTATTATACTTACCATCATAAATCACCAATAACCCGTCATATTCCACTGCTCAGTAACATCTTTCCCATAAGGGCAGTTGGGGCCCAGTGCAGTGCCCAGGGCCCCTATCCACAGGGGCCCCGGAGGACTGACAATTTCCATGACGAACAACTGGCTGCCCCCAGCCCCGTAACGTGTAGCACGTTCGATTCCCGCACGGATCAAATCTTTTTATGATCAACACATTGTTGTTCCGGGTCTGGCTGTCATGTGTATGTCAACTTGTATGTTTTTAAATGCAGCCACGGTACAGGAGGAAATACTAGTGTGAGGTAACGTTAAAAAAAATCTAAACGGGCCCCGAATTATTGTGCCCAACGTAGTCTAAGACGGCCCTGCCACTGCTATATTATATAAATCTCCTTAATAAAAGCGGGGTTTGCCATAATATCTGCGCTTGCCAGACGAGATTGAGGTTAAAGTTTCGTTAGGTTTATCAGAGAGCGCTGCCGCTGTGCTGCTGTCCCTTAATCGGGTATACGATCCCCACGGGAAGAGTAGGGTTGGTCACATAATATATATTCGATCGTCATTACATGTGGTTACAATATGGCACATATGCGGTGCATGAAATGACCAATAAAATCTGACATTGGCTTAGGCTGTTCAAATGGACCAAGGTATAACTAATTCTGTTAATTTCATACTGTTCTTGACCAAGCTTATAAAGCTACCCCAATCTATTAGGATTTTCAACCTTACCATTTTGTTATAAGGTTGAAATCTGCTGAAAGGATAACTTGATGTGCTAGTGTAGACAATATGACTAGACTCTGTGCTCTCATGAGTTATGTCACAATTGTTTAATGAAATTCAAGATCTTCAGATCAATTGAAAGTGACTGTAGATATCTATAGTATTAAACGTCCATATAAATTAGGTAATTGTTATGGCATAAAATAGCTGAGAATTTTAAATATTATAGAGATGTTGTTAGAGATATATTTTCTTTCATAATTTTTGTCTTATGTATTAAAAACTGTTCACAACCTTTGTTCCTGGAATTGCTAGTAGACTCCAATTGTGATGCTCCTTCCTCCAAATAAAGGATTAGGAGTGTGATATGATTGCTAGACTTTTTTGGATCTTTGGAGCTCATTTTAATATGGACATACAACTATTTTATATGGACTCATAACTATTATATAAACATAACAATTGTCCTACTTAAAAGACACGCGTGGAAGTTCAGCGATAATTCAAAACATACGCAAGAATTTCTATTGTAATGAAGAATATGTGACAAGTTATAAGTATTAAATAAAACGGTGTACGTTACGGCACTTAACGCCACTGTACTGTACAATATAACACCCACTTTTCACTATTTATGTTATGAGTTCCATGTGATAGGGGGTGAGCATATTGCCATATACCAAACACAATTCCAGACTCCGTGCTACTACTGAGATTTTTTTTAAAACCCATAAATACTTTGCCCGACCCGGGCATAGAACCCGAGACCCCTTGCGCGGCGGTCGCATTTACGACCACTCGGCCAATGAAACAGTTGAATACCTAATTAATTACATAAAAAGTCTATATCCTTCTAACTTTTACAAGCAGTGAATTTTGTATTTAAAAAAGGAATTTTCTGATTAATATTCACGCGTCTCTCAAGACCAAACATTATTCGCATACTCTGCGAAAATAGCTCTTGATACGTTTCATTTCATAAATCGATAGAAAAAGTAGGACAATGGGAAACAAGGGTGCGCACCAATCTGCAGGAGGTAGATTAAGTAATTGTAGATAAGTACCACATTTAAATATACTCTACAATGGTATTAAAACAGATGGTAATGTAGGACACATATTTAACAATACCAAGTCTTCACACGACTGACATAAGAGCCTTCTAAGGGACAACACATTTGACAGAGACCTAGTAGCCCAATTTCCTCCTCCCTAATCTCCCCAATCCCCGAATCATCAACAATACTCAACTTCCTAAACCCAAAAAGACCGGTAACGCACTTGTAACGCCTTTGGTGTTTCGGGTATCCATGGTGTTTACCGGCTTATCCCTTTAAAAAATATATATTTATAAGTTTAGCTATAATTTCGTTTCATCATTGTCATTATGACATCAGTCACAACAGTCAGACTCTTACTGACTAAAAATCACCCCGTTCCTACTCCGAGCCCCGGTAACCCGTTAAATTATACGGTATAGGGAATAAATACGCAGTTTCACGGAATCAAAAACGCATAATTTAAACAGAGTCAAGTTGCGAAGCCCACAAATCTCGACCATTGAATGAACTTAATCAAACTTGAATGGTCTCAATGAATCGCGTGCTACAATAATATTGGTCCATGTAACGTGTTAACAATTGATTGGAATCCTTTTCTTCATTGAATGAAGTTATACTTTACTATCAATTTACTGCATATTTTTGTACTTGTATATAATCGTGAACCAACTACGTGTAGTAGCGGAAACCAAATTGTTGTTTCGGGTCTGGGTGTGATGTGTATGTGAACTTGTATGTTTGTAAATGCACCCACAACACAGGAGAAAACGTTTATGGGCAAGGTTTTTTAAAAAATAAAGAAAGAAAAGGACCACTATCTCTTCTTACAAAATTAATATTACCAAGGGTAGCCATTAACGCTAAAAGTCGGCTCCCATCCATTAAACAAAAATACTTAAATTAACGTTGTTTCAAGGTTTTTCTTTAACCAACCAATTAGTCATCACTTTACCGATACTCTTTCTCTAAATATTAGGTAGGTAAATTTAACTAACTGAAGCTCAATAAGAACCGACAAATTTTAAACTTGATAGTTTGAAATCTCTTAATGTAATAGCTGATAGATGGTTATCATATTCTTAAGATTACGTAAGATTTAGACTGTCGTGGTGGCCCGGAGGTCTCTTATGTGTGAGAGCGCGGGTTTTAAAACCTACCAACGGCAAGTACCAATGTGACATTTTCCGAGTTATATGTATGTACTTTCTAAGCTTATTTAAACACCACTGACAAACGGTGAAGGAAACCATCGTGAGGAAACCTGGGCTTATAATTTGTAATTATAAGTTTAAATACGCATTGAGCAAAGCGTGGTGATTAATGCTCACACCTTCTTCGTGTGCGAAGAGGCCTTTGGTCAGCAGTAGCCACTTATAGGCTTTTGATGTGATGTGACATGTGATGTGATTTACGTTTCCTATAAACCTCCAAAACATTAACAAGAGTAATCAACCACAGTCTTTCATAAAAAGACCTGATCATCATAACTCTTCTGTCTCCAGGGTTAGCAATCACCTGCTACCAGTGCAACAGTCATAATGACTCGCGATGTCTGATGACTAAGCTGCCAGACTCCCTGCGACTGCCATGCGGGCCCAAGGACACGATGTGCAGGAAAATCTCGCAGGTCGTGGAGTTTGAGATGAACGGCATGCCACCAGACAGCCGCGTCATTCGAGGATGTGGGTGGGATGAGAGCAGTTATAAGGTAAGGGGAATAAAACTTAAAGAACAATTGCATAAGATTACATCATTTTCTTTTATATTCTATTTGAAGCAGAAAATCAGGCATTTTCTTTTAACAACCATCCACAAGAAAATCAATGACTGTTTTACTAATGCTTTTCTAAATTCGACAACACTTTGGTCGACCCGAGTATTGGATGCTCTTATTGGATTGCATTGATTTAAGCAACGAAACAATTGAATCTATAAAATGTCTTCATTGCAAATTAATGTCTCTGTATCTATACTAATGGATAATAATGGTCCTTTGGTTCACAACACCAAATTACGTTGAGAACCTATCAACAGTTCATTCAACCCTCCAAATATATGTTCGTAGACATGACATATTACAATACAATGTCAAATAATGTTCTAAATATGGCAAACCTCTGTGGACCTAATTAATGAAGTTCAGTGTACAAATAATTGCGAGTCGACATATTACATTTCTATTATAACTTTTGTAAGACATACTAAATTAATTATTATGTTTTTTTGGTTTACTCACGTACTGTTTGATGAGGAACTCGACTAGTTTCTATGAGCCTCTAACATGGCTTGAGACTGGTCGTTCCTCGAAAAGTTAAGGGAGTACGCCGAAAATATAATAAGTAATTTGTTTCGTTTGGTGAAGCTAATGACGTGCAAATTATTTCTATTGACATAGTTGCGTTTGTGAGACACATACTTGATTAGCAACCGAGTGCTAATTTAGAAGACCTTTAACCACTTATTGTAAGTAACTCTGAATATGCTTAAACAAGATCACATACTAAAGGTAAAGTTAAAAAGCGTATTGAGGAACCGAATAGGATATTCAGTGTTGAAGTAATTCAAATTACACCAGTTTGCATAGTTGTGGATTAATCAAATAAAAACATCGTACAAGGTAATTCAGGACCAAACAAAGAAAACACAACACTACTCACCATAGGTATAGGTTTTTCACCAGTTATGGAATAAGTCCGATGTAACAAGTTTATCGATAAAATATGGAAGTTGAGACATAAAACGTCAAATATGTTATTCCCAGGGCCGTTGCTACCAGCGCTCAGGTTTCGGAGGCCGGCAAGAAGTCTGCTCGTGTCTGGAGGACGGCTGCAACTCCGCCTCCATCCCCGTCGGCGCCACCGCCCTCATGCTCATCACCTTCGCAATCCTCAGGTTCTAGTTGGAACACATTCGCCAACTGCTCATTAGCATCAGTTTCACAATGTAGAAATTCCCGTAGGAGATATCATGAAGTATGGAAGATCGCAGAACATAGCAATTAAAAAGCTTGTCTTAAACACCCACTGCCAGTACATGAATTTTTGAGACCAAAGATCCAACAAAATCTAACAACCTTTGTAGCAAATATTAGAATGAAATACTCGTATGTACCAAAGAAACTATTGTTGTTTCGTAAACTATTGAGGCTTACTATTTTGAGAGCGCTAATATAGTTGGCGAAATCAATGAGCTGATAGATTTAGACGTTAAAGTAGATATAGCAAGTACATGTATAGGTGTTTGTAATTTATTTGTATGAATACGTGTTGCTATAGATGAATATGTGTGGCGTTAACACGTTAATGAATTTAGCAAATCTATGTAAATAGACGATAATCACGTACCATTCACACTTAGACGCGTAATGAAACTTTATGTACAGAGGAATATAGTTTATGTTAAAACCAGTATACATAGCATCGATGAAGTTACCAAAGTCACTATGATTGTACATTTTGTTTAGCGACGCTTCATTGTTGTGTTTGTAATTTGCGAATGTATTTATTAAAAGTTTTTCATGATCTCGACTTTTATTTACTTCTCATGGATATTATCTGAAGAGTGGAATCTATCAGAGCTATCATGTAAATTGACTGGATTTATTTTCGTATCTAGTATGACCTAATAAAATCACCTAACAATCTGAATTGACGTGTTCCGCTGTTGTTCAATGAGCCACGTCCTGTCACAAACGTAAGGCGGGTTGCACTGGATCCAACCTTGTGCCGTGATGTCCTCTCCCTAAGTCAGAAGTAACGTGTGCCTGATACCAAGCTGTAGTTGCTATCCCAGGGCCTGTAGTCATGTCGAGTTTATACTTCGTCTTAATACTTCTCTGTGGACTCTTTCATTACGGTCAGTCTAGTTTTTATGGCTTCCTACTTTTTATTACTGTTCAATTTTACGAAATTGATGTTTGAGTGGTGATGGATGTTGGTCGGCTTCGAAGAAGATTAATATTACTGTTTTTGTGTGACTGAAATCTGAACGTGAAAAGAGTATGTTGGAATATTTTACTATCCGAGTGGTAAAAATAGGTCGCAGTTACCACGAAGCTACGGAAATATGACTTAAGTGGTTAAGGTCATTGTCCCTATTCCCTTGAACTATGAAGACGTAACGGAAAATTGTGGTGAAATGTTTGCGAATCAATTGTTTTATGTTATCTTGTTAAAGAAAGAGGAGTGGAAGACTGATAACGATTTAAGAAATAAGCAGGACAGATTATGTGATAGTAGACAACACATTAATAATCCTAAAAGATAAATTTAAGACTGAATTACCTCAATTGGGGATCGTTAATTCAGTCCGATGCCCGATAATGCTGATATTAATTGCTCAAGTTTAGCAGACGGACTTATTATTAATGAATACTTCTATCTCTGTTACTAATTGCGATATCGTAACTTACTTTGAAATTATTTGTTACAGTTTATTAGTAAAAATATCAAATTTTTCACAAAATTCTAATTCACCCAACGTGTAACCGCAAATTGTTAGTATTGCGTACAAACTGTAGCAATTTTATTACGAAGTACTAGTTCGATCACGAGTGGTTTATTTTTAAATTGTTCTCTGTATACATTTGGTAAGCTTCCTCGAATATCTAGGGCATCTAGCAAATAAAACTACATCCTGTTTCATGGACATTTGTTTTGTTTATCCAATCGGTTTATAATATTAAGTCTGGTATTTGATACAAGTAAATATTCCGAAATATATATAACAGAATCCCAACGTAGAGATCATGATTTCTTAAAAGAAGAAGAATTAAATTATTATTTTTTAGACACTTTAATAGAAAGTAAATTTAATTTTGACATCTGTTGTGGTGGCCCGGAAGTTAAGCCGCTTCTCATGCATGAGGATGCGGGTTCGAAACCTACGAACAGCAAGTACCAAAGTGACTTTTTTGAGTTATATGTACTTTCTAAGATTATTCAGACACCACTGACAAACGGTGAAGGAAAACATCGTGAGGAAACCTGGGCTTATAATTTCTAATTAAAAGTTTGAAAGCGCCAACCCGCAATGAGCAAGCATGGTGATTAATACTCGAACTTACGCCGTGTTAGAAGAGGCTAGCTCAGCTATGGGCACTTATAGGCTGTTGATGTTGAAATGTAATTTTAACTGTTTGTCATTTAAAGGGTGAGGGTTGAAGGTCACAAGCAATTATCGTTAGAATCCATTGAAGTACGTCATCAGGGTTTAATGACATCGTCCATAATGAAAAAGGAAGTCAATTAAGGGAACTTACTTTTAGCGATGTTAAAGATGATTTAAGCTTTTAGCGACAATATTTTAATAATAACCTGAAAGACGGTGAAAAAATGGCAAGTAATTGTATTTGTGCTACAATTTGTGAACAAATAAAATGCTATACTGATAATATAGGGACTAAATTCAAGGAATCATAAGAAGGAACAGAATATCGTGTCGATTTCTGTAAATTCTATCAATCTCATGGGACATACGTATATGTAGAGATGAGAATTGTATACATGTGAGACTGTCAAGTTTGTTTGACATGTTCCAGGCTCCACAATAATGTGCTACGAATGCAACAGTGCTATAAACTCTCAATGCCTTGATACCAAGCTGCCGGACAGTTTAAAGAAGAACTGCTCCGACCATGACCGTGGAGTCACCCATACGCTCTGCCGTAAGATAGTTCAACATGTGGACTATGGAGTCAATGGGAGATTGCCTGAGAGCAGAGTCATCAGGAGCTGTGGGTGGGATGAAAGTAAATTTAAAGTAAGTATTTTTTCATTGTCTTCTTTAATTACCACTTGTCTTCTGACACCTATGAGTCAATGGATTCAGCAAAGGCAACTTCTACATACCATCTCAGTGTTTTTACAAAAAAAATGATGAACCAAATGAAGCTTGTGGATCGGAAATATCTAAAATTCGGTAACGGTAATTTAATGCGGGTCAAAGGACCAATTTGTGAACGCTGCAAGATTGTTTATGTTTGAGAACATGACAATTGTGACTTAACATCGTTCTCATTAAAACCCATAAATATATTGAATGTATAAGAAAGTCATCAATCTTTTCATGTATGCTCGTCGGTTAAGGGTACTTTTAATTTGGCCCTTCTATCCGTCAAACACCAAGCGGTCACCGGTGACCGCGACCTATTGTTCTTTAATTGTGTCTATAAAACCGGTACTCGACGAGTTAAACTGTCAAACACCAAGCGGTCACCGGTGACCGCGACCTATTGTTCTTTAATTGTGTCTATAAAACCGGTACTCGACGAGTTAATATATCGCCAATCTGGTCACTATATGTCCGTCTAGGGCGAAAGTTAATGAAGCGAAAGAGGTATGTAAGAATCGTAGTAATTGGCGTTCCTTAGTCTCTGCCTGGGTAGGCAGGCGTGAAGTTATGTATGTATGTATAAGAAAGTAATAATATTATAATTCTTTATTGATTGCACAACTTGATTCCTCCTGCTCCTTCCCATCATCGTACCACAAGACAATCGGCGAAGTGTCACCGATTTATGGTGGATGCCACACGCATGAAGCGCTTCGCATCAAGCTTCTTTATGTATACTACTAAGGAGTAGAATTATTTGCTAGAGTCTGTGTTTCCCAAAGGGTGTAACCTGGGTGTCTTCAAAGCCCGAGTGAATAAGTTAATTATCGGACGATGTGCTCTATTGCAGGCCGCATCATCACTTACCACCAGGCGAGATAGTGGCCAAACGCCGGCCCATGAAATATAAAAAGGAATGAGCAAAATACAAAATATCTAAATGTTAAATACCGACAACCTACATTCCATTTTATCAGTCTCTGTATATGCTTTTACTAATTTATCATTTTTCTGTTCCAGGGTCAATGTTACCACCGTGCTGGATACGGGGGTAGACAGGAAGTATGCTCCTGCCTGACAGACTACTGCAATGGTAGCCAAGACACCACGACCACCACCGCCCTTCTGGCCACTGCCATCATGTTCCTCGGTAGGATTATCTGCCAATGACTCTTAGATAGTTTTTAAAAAATCCTTAATAGATGTATTTGGAGAACATGATTACTGTATAAAATTTCTACAATTTCTTAACAACGTTATCATCAGTTATAATTAATAAATATTGTGTATACGAAATCGTTGTTTTATTGGCTTCTAACTAAGTTTAAGACTGCCTCGTTGGCCGAGTGGTCGTTAGTGCGACTGCCGGGCAAGGGGTCTAGGGTTCGATTCCCGGGTCGGGCAAAGTATTACTGTTTTTTTTTTAATATTCTCAGTAGTAGCACAGAGTCTGGAATTGTGCCCGGTATATGGCAATAGGCTCACCCTCTATTACATGGGACTCATAACATAAATAGTGAAAAGTGGGTGTTACATTGTATAGTGGTATAATGTGCACCTTTGCCTACCCCTTTGGCGATAAAAGGCGTGATGTTATGTTTCAACTTTTCTATTTAAATGCTCTTAAGGGTGAGTTTTGTACCACATACCCGGCACTCGTGAAAATATAGCTGTCTGTAATCAACATCGATTTTAGCCGATTCTTCTCTTTCGACTGGGTTACCTGAAATCTGTCGAGGATGTCGTGGTGGCCCGGAGGTTTAAGGCACCCGCTTCTCATGCATGAGGGTGAAGGTTCGAAAGCTGCCAACGGCAAGTACTAATGTGACTTTTTCCGAGTTATATATACTTTCTAACATTATTTAGACACCACTGACAAACGGTAAAGGAAAATCGTGCGGAAACCTAGGCTTATAATTTCTTATTATAAGTTTTTAATCACCAACCCGCATTGATCAAGCGTAGTGATTAATGCTCAAACTTCCTCCGTGTGAGAAGAGGCTTTGCTCAGCAGTGGGCACTTATAGGCTGTTGATGATGATGATGACCTGAAATCAATAGGAATACTTACGTAAATCTGTCTCATGGAAAAAATGTTTTCATTCTTAACATTTCTTTCACTTTATTGATACTGTACAAAGTAGATGAAACTTGCAATCGAAATGCAATCTTTTTTACAATAAAATGTAAAGGAAAATGGACGGAACTCCTTACTACACCAAGACCATAAGCCATGTAAATAACACAGGTAACCT